ATCGTCCACATAATTATGAATGTAGTTTTTATAGTATTAGCTGGTAAACGAGCACTTGATGGTAAGCAATCGGTCTGAATTCTGAAGTCTGAATCGATATAAGCAACATGTAGAAAATGTGTTTGTAAAAAATTGTAAATTGAGGCCGAACACTTTCCTCCCCTTTCCTAATTTCCCCAATCTTCAACAATCCTTAAAACGTCGGTACCGCACTTGTAACGCCTGTAGTGTTCCAGGTGTCCATGGGCGACGACGATTGCTTACCATCAGATGATACGTTTATAACTTACGAAATACATCTGAATGTTGGTTTTTACATCAACACAGAATCAACTTAATCGCACGAAGAGTGCTGCTGTCCGGTCTTTTTCAATCAGTTCTTACGACGCCCATATTTTCATGGGCGTCGTAGTAGTGGAGGGAACAAGTGACATTCTGCAGTCATAATATAGCTTACTAATAGATGATAAAAAGTGTTTTTTTAAGGGGGGAAAATCATCGTATTACTTCTCCCGCCTGGGTGAGGCGAGAGGGAGTGTCAGACTCTTACTGACTAAAAACCACCCCGTTCCTACTCCTACACTTCGAGCCGGAATCCCGGTAACCCGTTAGGTTCTCCACGGCTCCGTATTGGCAAAAAGTGGGTGTAGGCCGCATTTGAGTTGTTTCTACCTATTAAGGAATGTATTGCAGGTATGTGCGTTAATTAAATTAGTCACTTAATCTTAGGAAAGGAAAACAGACACAATACAGCATTTTATGTGATGAAAAACAACACATTTGTTTTATCTGACAAAATATCAACAGACGTGTGTACATTCGTAGCTTACAAAGCAAAATTCATGTAATTTTTCAACGTAATATGGCGGAAATACTAGATAGCCACATTCGTATGTATGTGTCACGGAGTACGCAGTCAATGGAGAGTTTACGTAGACAGTAAAAAAGAATGGCTCCACATTTGTGATCTATTTGAAGATAACGAGCAAACTGAGCGAATTGGAACCGTCTACGAGAAATTAAATAACTTCATTATAATAAATTAAATAACTTTCATTATGCTCTATGTTCATTTATTTTTAGATTATATTTCATATCTACTACCTAGGTAGTTAGATTTTATTAAGGGGGGAAAATCATCGAGTGACTGCCGCCTTGAGTGTCAGACTCTTACTGACTAAAAACCACCCCGTTCCTACTCCTGCACGTCGAGCTTGAGCCCCGGTAACCCGTTAAGTTCTTAGGTTAGGTTGACAAGTTATAACAAGATATTTTATATATGTGGTTATAAACATTATAATAGATTCAATTATGTAGGTAAACATTTAAACATATTCAAAACATTGATTTTCACAACCCAATCCCATAATATATTAAGTCAACTACCAAACCGTAGGTACTATGCTAAAAAGTCTACAAACACTCCAAACGTGCTCACTCCGTATCCCACATACTCCATATGCAAGCGTGATGCTTTATTTATCACACGCAGGCGATGGAATGACGGCAGTACTCATTCATTCGAGAAAATTGAGCAGCCAAGCAAACCGGGTTCCGCACATCTTAATATGGTTTTCTTCGTACTCTTACGGATTGCTAAAAAACATGGCGACGTAAACATTGTTTTGTTTGAAGATAAAAGTTTGGAACTCGATATTGTTTGTTTAATTAAGTGGCTTTCGTCTTGTTTCTGTGTTAAACGAACTGGGGCTTTTATACTTTTTTAAATTTTGTGTTGCTGTTATGATGTTTTGACTGTTTCTTTCGCGATTACTTTTAGTGATAGAAAAATTTGTATTGTGTTTTTTGAAAGTGTTTGCCAATCTGTTTACAGTTGATAGATAGGACACCAGACGTGTAATGTGAAGTTGGTAATGGTCATTTAGACCCGTTAGTTCTATCAATTCTACTAATGTTTAACAATAGACACAAATAACAATAATCGTGTCGATCATGTTATTGAACCAGAGACCTTGTGCTTAGTAATCGCATCTCACATCTTCATAACCTATCCTTTGAGAGGAACTAAACAAAAACGATTCTTATGGCACAGAAAATACATTCATGTTTCTATTCTCCATACAAAATTCCAATAGTGATCTAAAAATATGCCATCCAACGTCACCATCCCCTCGATTTCACTAATCCAAATTACCAATTACGGAACCCTAAACGTTTTGCGTTCTATAGGTTCCGTATTTTCGTATTTACGCACGTGCAAGCCTAACAAAACGATATTTTTATGTCGAAACGATTTCAATTCGTCTAGGATACGTGACTGTGGTACGCCTCGGGGTGTGCGTAGACGAGGAACTTTTGACGTCGAACTTGGCTTAGATCAGAGACTTTTTCGGAAAAGTGAAAGAGGTCCTTTTTTTTTTTAAGGGGGAAAATCATCGAATTACTGCTCCCGCCTGGGTGAGGCGGAAGGGAGTGTCAGACTCTTACTGACTAAAAACCACCCCGTTCCTTCTCCTGCACGTCGAGCCCGAGCCCCGGTTACCCGTTAGGTTCTCCGCGACTCCGAATCGGCATCGGCCCTACTGGGCCCCATCTGTGGTGGTCTGATGGCTCTTTGAGGCGCGCGCGGAACGCGACGCGCCGTACGTTCGGGTCTGTTTCTGGTCGGACGGGGAGCTACCCATGCTCGCCGTCCGCAGGCCCGCGCTTACGGTGGCCGGAGATCGTCCCGCGATCCCCGACGCCCGGTGTGTCCTTCGCGATGGCTGGGTTGCGAGGAGGCAGCGCTTCGCTGCTTCACGCGTCCCGCCTCCTCCTTAGCTAGCATGACTACTTCGCAAAAGGAGGAGACGGCATCCCAGTCCCCCTCGCTCCGCATCATGGCCTGCACTAGGCCCGGACGCGAGAGGTCGCCATCGCCGATCACTTCCCTGAGGGCACGGCGGTGCTCAGCCCACGCAGGGCATTCCACTACAGTGTGTTCCACCGTGTCCTCAGGGCGGTCGTCGCAGTGGTGACACCCGGGCGTTTCCTCCCGCCCCATCAGACACAGGTACCTCCCGAAACTTCCATGTCCGGTAAGGACCTGCGTCAGGCGGTAGGTGAGGACGCCGTGGCGTCTCTCAAGCCACTCCTCAAAGAGGGGACTTACCGCTGCAATGGCAGCGAGCCCAGCCCTCGGTTGCGACAGTCGTTGCTGCCATTCCGCCATGAGATCGCGGTGAAAGAGGTCCTACAGGAGGTAGGGACCGTCAGGCAGTCGCGTTTGCACGCGTTCAACGAGGCATTTCTTCGATATTTATTAGTTTGTAAGGAATCTATATCATATTAACAAAAAAGTAACCCCTTATACACTCCAGATGGCACAAATGTAAGAAGAGATTTATTTGTCCAATTACAGTAGCTGTCAAATATTGAACATTCACCAGCGTGACACTAGGTAGTTAATCACCTATTGGACGAACAACGAGAAGCGCCATCTAGTGAGCAAAAAGACGGTAGCCCCCATTGATTCAAGTTGTTTTAACTAAGTTTCTTTCTTGATTTGCTCGTAAACTTATTGTAAACATTTTTGTTCAGTGTACTATACTTACTGACACACATATTCAATCTACTTGAATGTTATGCTTGCTTAAATCGATGTAAACTTTAAGTGTGGGAGAGCCATGCTTCGGCACAAATGGGCCGGCTCGACCGGAGTGACACCACGGCCTCACAGAAAACTGACGTGAACCAACGCTTGCGTTGTGTTTCGTCGTGTGAGTGAGGTTACTGGAGGCCCGATTACCCTCCCCTCCCCCAATCTCCCCAATCCCTGAATCCCCAACGATCCTCAAACTCCTAATCCCCAAAAGGCCGGTAACGCACTTGTAATGCCTCTGGTGTTCCAGGTTTCCATAGGCGCCGCCGATTGCTTACCATCAGATGATCCGTCTGCTCGTTTACCGGCTTATACCATAAAAAAAATCTGTTAATTCTTTGGCGTTCGATGCGTGTGTTTTTATGGCTTTAAATTATGTTTTAGGTAGAATTGTTTCATAATTTCTAAATAGATTTTCGTCTTCAACACACAAAAGTTCCTCGTCTACGTCCCATTTATGTATACAAACGAAAATAACGCTATTTATTATATCCAGAAACAAACAATTTGCGGTGAACGAATAAAGGAAAGTTAATTTATTCAAAGACGTAACAAAGGAGTTTGTAAATGGACCGACTGTCCGTTTGTTTAAATATTTTTGATCTCCGTGGGGTAGAAATTAGAAATAATAATTGGATGGGATTGTGTTTGTATCGATTTTTATATAGGAGTACTTTTTGTTGTAGGTGTTTTTGAATTCTTTCGTAAATGGAAGTGTGTGTAATCTACTTACGGAATAAGAATATTTTGAACTTTCTCATTCATAAGGGCTTGTTTACAGAGACGCGGCGCGATGAGCGACGCGTTGCGCGTTCGTCGTACATTGCCATATAATTGTAATTGCGCGTGCGATGACTCGGCCCGCTGCTGCAATGTACGACGAATGCGCCACGCGTCGCTCATCGCGCCGCGTCTCCGTAAACAAGCCCTTACACTGAACAGCGAATTGTACGTCACTATAAGCAATGCAATCTCAAATAATCAACTCTTAAAAATGTACTAGTTACAATCACTTTCGTAGAAATATACATACATAACATCACGCCTTTTATCCCCAAAAGGGTAGGCAGACAGAAGTGCACATTATGCCACTGTACAATGTAACACCCACTTTTAATTATTTATGTTATGAGTCCCATGTAATAGGGGGTGAGCCTATTGCCATATACCAGGCACAATTCCAGACTTCGTGCTACTACTGAGATTTTTTTAAAAACATTAGTAATATTTTGCCCGACCCAGGAATCGAACCCGAGACTCCGGTAGTCGCACTTGCGAGACTGCACAACGAGGCAGACAGGCAGATATGTATTATATATTCAATTATAACATAAATAAAAATTTTCTTAGTCCGTGTGCGTATTTATCAAACATAATTTTCAATTATTTTATGACTTACTTTGGGATGGTCCCGGACGGGCACGACGACTCGTACGCACACCTTGACGGGTTTGTCTCTGGTGATGTCCAACATCCTTCGCTCTCCTCGCCATTCACCTGGGGACAAACAGAAATACAGTTTCAGTGAGGGTTTTAATTAAAAACTGTGTTAAAAATAATAATCTTTAGATATTGAATTAAATATGTCGTGGTGGCCTGGAATGTCGTGGTGGCCCGGAGGATTAAGACGCCCGCTTTTCATGCATAAGGATGCGGGTTCGAAACCTACCAACAGCAAGTACCAATGTAACTTTTTCTAAGTTACTTAATATATACTTTCTAAGATTATTTAGACACCACTGACAAACGGTGAAGGAAAACATCGTGAGGAAGTCTAGGCTTATAATTTCCAATTATAAGTTTGTTATCACCAACCCGCGTAGAGCAAGCGTGGTGATTAGTGGTCAAACCTTCTCCGTGTGAGAAGAGGCTTTGCTCAGCAGTGGGCATTTATAGGCTGTTGATGATTGAATTAAATACATATAAACCATTTTTTATGTTTATTAATTTAGAGTCTTTTCCTCACATAAATACCATACCAGACCCATCATTCCCTAAACAGATTTAACAAGGCTAACATTAACTTAAATACTACTATTACTACCTTTATTTATATATTTCTGCTGTACGTGTGTATGTCATTGAACTCCTCCTAAATGGCTTGACCGATTTAAATGAATTATTTTGTATGCGTTTGAGTGGCGCCCTGGATGGTTTAGATTCACAAATCAGCCCGGCACATGGCGCTGCAGTCGATTTTAATGATTTTTTGTTTATACATCCAAGTACATATGCAGGGCAACGTCTGTCGGGTCCGCTAGTACATATTTGTTGCGACAATGTACTATGAAAAACGGCAACATCTAATACATTAATTCTAAACATATGTTTCAAAGCCTCTCTGCCAGCCCTCGTCCTGATACATTACATAGAAACATGTTATAGGCCAAAATATTTTGAAAAAGTACATTACGCCTTGCAATCATCGAATCAAGTTGTCAAGGGTCTGGTTCGAAATGCAGGAGTAGTAACGGCCACCCCGTTTTTAGTCAATAAGAGTCTGACACTCCCTCTCGCCTCACCCAGGCGGGAGAAATCATTATTGTATGTTTTTCCTACCACAAACAAAAGAAGATGACGGATAATTATGTTCTCTCCGAAATATCACGTAGACATTGTTAAATATGAATCTACCATAAAAAAGAACAAGATATAATGCACACATATTTAACAAAAGGCGACCTCAAATCAGCAAGCGTGATGATTAGTGCTCAAACCTTCTCAGTGTGAGAAGAGGCATTTGGTCAGCTGTCGCCACGTATCGGCTGTTAATGATTGAATGATGATGAATTAAAAAAAACTAAATTAGTACCTCCACAGAATAACACCACAGTTCACATCTATACGAAAATATACCAAAAGTCCAAGCCCACAGCCCAACAAAAACTTTTCAAATAGTAATCCCATGGTACCACAAAATAGGGAACATACTTAATGTTTTCTATTAACCTGTTTGTTTCAACTCAAACTGTGGGTCGTTGGAAATTAGTTTCAATAAACAAACAAAGTCACTTATGTTCGTTCTACTCAAACTCGTTCAGTTTTAAGCCATCGTGCATAAAAAATATCACGAATTTATTCAGTTTTTTTTTATGTGATAAGCCGGTAAATGTGCGGACGGATCACCTGATGGTAAGCAATCGGCGTCGCCCATGAACACACGCAACACCAGAGGCGTTACAAGTACGTTACCGGCCTTCTGCATTAGGAAATTGAGGATTGTTGGGGATTCAGGGATTGGGGAAAGGGGGGGGGGGGTTTAATTGTGCCTCCGGTAACCTCACTCACACAACGAAACACAACGCAAGCGTTGTTTCACGTCGGTCTTGTGTGAGGCCGTGGTATCACTCCGGTCGAGCCGGCCCATTCATGTCGAAGCATTGCTCTCCCACACTTAATCAAAGATAATGAAATAGGCTATTTTCATTGATATTCTGACACACATTACATTAACAGGGTACCGATGGTGCACATACATCACTATTCACAATAATGGTACGGTCGGAGCGGTGGCTGGACAACCGGCTGCCGCGCAATGTGTCGCGGTTTCGATTCCCGCACGGAGCAACTCTTTGTGTGATCCACAAATTGTTGTTCCGAGTCTGGGTGTCATGTGTATGTGAACTTGTATGTTTGTACACGCACCCACGACACAGCTGAAAATCCTAGGGTGGAGCAATGTTTAAATTTATATTATACTTAACTCCATAATATAGATGAGCTGAATTTGAGTTTATAATTATATAAACTCACTCACTGTGGCATCACGCGTAAATGCCTGGACTGATTTCACTAATTGTTTTTTTGTTGTATTTGTTATTATTTCTTAAGACAGAAAAATCCTGAAAATCCCACGGGAACGGGAGAAACCGGGATTGCACGTACAAAGTCGCGGGCAGAAGCTAGTATTTATAATATAATGTAACGCCCAATTTTATTTTACAAGTTCCAAGTAATAATAACAATCCGCAATAATGGCTACCAGACCTGGGAATTAAAGTTGAAATCTCTGAGCCGGCTAGGTTGCAGCAGCTAGACCAGCTCGGAATGCAGTATCAGAGGTCTATTTTGATACTGTCGCGGTGTAGTATGGTGACTCTGGTATCTAGTTTGGTGACCCCACAGAACATAATTATAAAGAAGATGTTCTGTGGGTGACCCGGTGAATTTATAGGCCTTGCTCAATTGTCTTACTCGACCAACACGGAAGGTAATTTTGGAAGTTTAAAAAAAAATCGCTAACGCAGTAAAAAAACTAAAGTTAGTGTTGCCAACACTACTCTAGTTACTTTAGACAGATTGTCATAATGTTGCCATTATTGTAACGACAAATAAATAGATACATTATTTAATCGAACCTTATAGAATGTAATAGTCATTTGCACCTTATTTTACTTCATAATAAAGTTCGATTCGGACTGTTACTATTACTGTTCGGAAGATATTATAATGAATGAGTTCCGTAGATAATTATACCAATAATAATTATTATAATTAAAATAACTGGCAACACCACGACGTTGACATAACGTACAAAATTTTACTCTGTTTTTATTTCGGTTTATTTTTATAAATAATTCACGTTTCCTTATACCCAATATAACAATAACAAAACCTTTTTATAATAATATATACTTACTACAAAATCAACACCGACAATAGCAATAAACAAACAATAAATGAAGAAAAATGAAATTTGACAGTGACAGACTACAAAAGGAAGATGATAAAATAGAAAATTAAAATGCTACGTTGATGTTGACGAGAGCCAGGAAAAGACGTGACGCACCCCCACCACCTCCGGACTCGTCGCTCAGCTCCGCCTCGCCGTCGCCGAACCCCAGCCCCGCAGGATCACCGGTGACAGCAGTTGCGTCGAGCTCGAGCGATGACTATTTCTCCCCGCCGACGTCGCCGACACCTGTACGTCGGCCGGGGAGAGGCCGGCCACCGACGGGCTTGGGAGCCAGGGGCCAACAGGCCCCGGGACGGGTCCCCGCTACCGGTGGTTGTGTGCGGCGCATGAAATGGTCTCAAACCATAAATGAGAACGTCATGCGCTCGTACTACGGTGCTACAGAGGGAGGGACTAACCTCACTGCGTACCGTGAAAGGATGCTTTCTGTATTTCAGGTTCTTGAGCCATCTATCAACGTCTCGGCCCAACGACTGTCGGATCAGGTGCGGGTCATCCAACGCAATCGCAGATTGGATGAGGCTGCGCTTGATCGGCTACGCCTAGAAGCACTGCGCAATCGTGTCGTCCCCGCACCACCACAATCGGTGGCACAAACACCTGTAGTCTCACAATGTGTGACGCCAACCACCCCTATCGTTGGTGTGGAGGATGACAGGGTTGAACAAGTGAGTACTCAGTGCAATGAACGACTGAGGAGTGCTTTGGAGGATGCGGTTCGTGAGTATAGACTTGCTCCTAGTAATTTAAGACCTAAATTACCACGTTTGCCCATGTGTAAAAAAAATAGGGCGCTGGTGAGTGCCTTGGATTCGCTACTTAAAAAATATTTTGAGAGTAGCGAAAACCTCTATGATACACACTCAATCTTGTACTGTGGGGCGGTAGCTGCTTGTCGAGTGGCTAACGTCAGATTCCCAAATCTTGACGCAGCAGTCCGACCAAAACCAGCAGTACCTGCCTGGCAGTATAGGATAGAGCGTCGTATCAGTGAGGCCAGGGTACTCATTGGCAAACTATCCTGTTTCAGGGAGGGCAATACTCGCCCTAGAGTGATGCGCTTTGTAAGACGTGCATTTGTGGGGACTGAAACCAGTCCTCATGAATACCTGTCACGTGTTACAGAGCGCATCGACTTCCTGAAGCAGAAAGTTTATGCATGGGCAAACCGTATTAGACGTTACAAAAAAAGAGTGGAGCGCTATACTCAGAATCGCATGTTCCAAAGAGATCAGAGGTGGGTATACAGAGATTGGGAACGATCCAACCAAGATGTGGCTGACGGGCGGCGACCGGATGATGATGCCACTAACACATTTTGGCGCAACATCTGGTCGGTACCTGTTAGCCACACAGAAGGTGACTGGATGTGTGATGTTAAGCGAAGGTGTGAGACTATACCAGAGATGGAGGAGGTAGAAATTACCTCCTCTGATGTAGCCAGTGCAGCCTGTTCGGTTCCGAATTGGAAATCACCGGGGCCGGACGGACTGCACAATTTCTGGATTAAATGGTTCAAGAGTTCACACGTTCGCTTAGCATTACACTTCCAGGCAGCTTTGGAAACTGGGTCGTTACCACAATTTCTAACAACAGGAGTTACCCACCTGCTCCATAAATCAGGTAGTTCCACTGAGCCCAAAAATTATAGACCAATCACATGTTTACCAACGGTCTATAAACTTCTTACATCCATTTTGAGGACAAAAAAACAAAACATATTGAACAAAATACCATCATGTCTGTATCTCAAAATGGATGTAGGGAGGGGTCTCGTGGAACTAAGGAGCTACTCCTCATTGATATGGTTGTTAGCCAACAGGTTCGTCGGTCCCG